GGCCCCAACAAAACCATTTTAAGGCTCACTTTCTTTATCTGTAAAATGGACTCCACAATGAACAGCAGATTTCAAGGCATCAGTGAGCTCACACGGAAAGCCTGGCATACTATAAGCCCCCATGGAGGCTGGTTTGCCCCTAGTCTACTTCCTGCAGGACTCTGATGTGGAGTTTAGGATCTGGGTAGAACAAATGAACTGTCTCTGAATAGTCCTCCCAAATTGCTCTTCTCTCCATAGCAGCACTGGCAGGACCTGAGCTTCACAAGCCACAGGGATGGCTTTGGGGTCCAGACTGAGACAGGCATGTCCCAGAGTCTCTCTCTCCCAGCCTCCACCATTCCACTCTCCTGCCCAGGGTCCCCAGGGCTGCCTGGCTTGTGTCTCAGCCACTGGATCACAGCAAACACACAGAGACCCTGAGATAGAAGAGCAGGGCCTGGAGAGGGGAAATCTGACTCCAGTTTCCCGCAGGCCCTCAAGAACTGGAGCCTGGGCAGTCTGGGGCCTCTGCTGGTAGCCGTTGTGGTTCTCCAACCTGCCAAATGATGAGAATCACCTGGACACCAATGCAGTCCCGCAGGGCCTGTCCCTGGGGAGTCCAATTCAAGGGAGCTGGGGCAGGCAGGGGTTGGGGTTTGTCCCGGCCTCCAGGCAGTTTGTGTCTTCGGGCAAGTTTGGGAGCTGCTGAGAGTGGGCTGAAGAGCTAGGGCTCTCTGGAACCATCTGGATTCCAGCACCAGTTTCCCTACTCCACACTACTGGAGTGGCCTTAGGTAGGTGATGTTTTTAACTTCTCTGGGTTTCAATTTCCTCCTTGGAAAATGACAGAATGAGATTTGCAGGGTAAGCATTTAGCCCTGGGCCTGGCACAAAGTAAGCACCAACAGATGTTAGGCAATAATCCATACTGTTATTCCACGCAGCTGTGGGCTGCGGCAGGGTGGGGAGCCCATGGTGCTCTGAGGGTGCCCTCGGGTGTCTTCACTGCCCACCACTGGGGTAAGCTCTCCTCTGAGACGCAGCAAGAGGGCCAGGCTGCATCCCTGGAGTCCCAGCTGCCACCATCCGGTCTGAGATTCCTCTCAGGCTCAAAGGGAGTTAAGAAGCGTGCTTCTCTCGTCATTTGTTGTGCCTGGCACATAGAAATCATCCAGGAGTTGTTAGCTAATATCATGTGTGCACACTTTAATAGACAAACATTTCTTGGCGCCTACTCTTTGCCAGTCCTGAACTGGGGATGGGATCACACCACGTACTGGGGCTCTGGAACCAGCCTGCCTGGGCTTGAAACCAAGCTCTGACACTGACCAGCTGTGTGACCCTGGGCAACATACTCCTCCTTTCTGGGTTTAAAATGAATCCTTCATCTGTTTCCTCACGAGAACCCAGAGGCATAAAAAGGGATTAAATGGGTTCACTTGTAAAGAGTTCAGAACAGTGCCTGGCACGCGGTAAATTCTGAGAGTGATAAATTAAACGCAGGCCACAGGTCCCTTTCTCCAGGAGCTCAGCCTGGTAGGGGAGTCAGCAAGCCTTAGGGGCCACAAGGTTGTTGCCTGCGGCAGAGAAGCGCAGGGCCTGAGCCGGGAATGCTCCCGTGAGGATGCCAGGGGCCGGCGCTGCGGGGCAGACGGTGCTACTCTCGCGCGGGACCGAGTGAAGAGAGTCTGCGGTGAACCCTGCGGCTTCTGCGCGTCTGTTAAAAATACAGGTATTTAGATACACAACGTGGCGTCCACTTAAGGTGAAATCTAAACAAAATAAAACGACAGGAGCCATTCTGATTTGGCCGAACACGTGCCTGCGGGCTGGGAATGACCCGAGGAAAGGAAGGGACGGCGGGGCCAGTCAGTGCGGCGGGGCCGGGTGGGAGGCGGTGGACTGGCCTGTAGTGCTGGGAACCCCCAGCCCCGGCCGGCCTTTGCTAGGAACCACCCAGCTGATTTTTTTTCCTTTCTTTTTAAAATAAACCTACCTTCCTTCCCCGATTTTTTTCTTTTTAACTTCGCTGTTTATCTCCAATTTTTTTTTTTTTTAAGCTGCAGCGTGTTCTTGTTCGATTTTTAAAAATACTAGAAATGAAATGAGTCCCCTAGGTGCCTCCCTGGCGCCCTGGGCATGGAGAGCTCATGCCTGCGCCACCCTCATCTCCGCTGGCTTTGCCACCTCGGAGGCGCCCCACACTTCTCCTTTGTTTTGCTTTTCTCTGTGCCGGTTGAGTTTTCTTACCCTGAATGCGTCGTTTATGCAATTAGCAATTGAAAACAAAACAAATATCACCGACATAATTGGAGTGGGGGTCGCTATGTAAACACGGGGCGTCGTTAGTTTAAGGTACTTCTGACCCTGTCCCGGCCTGAGCCCTGGCTCCCTGAACTCAGCGCCCAGGCGGTAAAGCCTCGCTCCAGTCAGGCGAGGGCAGTCCGTGCTGCTTCCCTGAGTTCTGCCATCTACGGCCCCATCATGAGCCCGGATATGAGGCCTGAGACTCTCACCCCACTGGCAAGAGTCTGGGGTCCGCTCAGCGCCGCCGGGAGCCAGTCTGGCTGCATCTTTACTGGAGAGACATCCGCAGTGTGGTGGGCTCTGGCTTCAGGAGCAAGCTCTCCAGTATGTACCCTGTGTGTTTCCCAGCTCCCGTTCCCACTTAGAGACTGGATGATCTTGACCAGCCATGTAACCTCCTCAGTTTCCCGGTCTGCAAATGACGGTGGGTTAGGTGAGAGAACTCCTGTATACACTTAGCCGGGGGTGCTGGCATTGGTGAGCCCTGGCAGATGCCAGCCAGCCAGCCAGTGTGAGCCTTTGTGAGTGCCTTGGGAAAGCTGCAGGAGATCCTAGCTCACTCAGCTGATCCCCGAAGGGACAGTATGACACATAAAGAGGGAGGTATCATGGAGAAATCCTCGTGGTATAAGGTTAAGTGAAATAAATATTATTTCTAATGTTACTGCAGACACCTGTAAGATGAAAAAGACCCACATGAGTGCAGGACCAAGGCCACAGTGATCTGATGAAGAGCAAATATGGGTCATTTCGGATAGGATTTCCCAGTTGTGTGAGTAAGGCCGCCTGCTGGGGCTGTGGGCTGGGACTGCCTAGCAGGAGAGCACCATCCTGCTCAGGAGCTGGTCTGGCAACCTGGAGGAGCCTTGGCGTGCCCCTCCATAAGACTGAGATGGGAACACGTTAATGGCTCACAGCAGGGTCGTGGGCCCAGGAGGCGGAATGCCAGGGCTGAGGTGACCATCCTGCTTCCACTCCTGATGGCCCTCTCCAGCTGCCAGCTGGCTGGGACCTTCAGGTCCCTTCTTCTACTCAGCCAGCCTTGAGCATAGCCCTTTTCTCTCCCTTCCCACAGCACAGCCCAGAACCCTGCGATGGTAGACTGCTTGCACTCCACTGCCCTTGTATCCCACTGTGTCCAGTGGTAACACTGGGTATAGACAGTGGTAGCACTTAGAACCTCCTGGCATCCTCCCCTCTTCCACGGGCGTGTGGCACTTACCCAGAGAGATAACACAGGCATTGGCAGGGCTGCATGGTTCCTGGTGAGGCAGTAGGACAGCTCCTGGTTGTGCCAGGCCAGCCTGGCAACTCTTACTGGGAGTCAGGGGAACATTCAGAAGCACTCGGTCCCTGACTGCCACAAACAATGCTTTGGTTGTATCGGGGGCTGTCAGCCGGATGTCCCAATGCCCCAGGCCTCCAACTCAGTGCTTCCTGGGCAAAATATCAGAAAAATCCATATCCAGTGAGAAAACAAATCCTCAACTCCCCCGGCTTTGGTCTCTTTTAAATCAGCATCTTAAAAAGATCCTGGGTTAGTTCCTCAGGCTCTGGGGCTGGTGATAGAGGAGCTGGAGGTCAGGTCCCAGCACCTGCTGACTGGCGATTCAGGATGAGAGCAAGGTATGTTTGTTACCCTCATTTTACAAACAACAACCACCACCACCACCACCACCACCGCCGCCACCATCACCACCACCACCACCATCACCACCACCACCACGGAGGCATGCAGTGAGCAAGTCCCATAACAAGCAGGGTTTAAACTTGATTTCACAGAGCCTCAGTTTTCTCATCTATAAAATCAGGACAGTAGTAACACTTGTTGGTCAGAACTATGGTGAAATTAAATGCCCTAAGGAAAGGACATCAGTAAGGTTAGGGCTTAGGGGCTCCCTTGGACCATGTGAATTTATGGGGCCTCACCAGGGCTAGAGGTGAGCACCCTCTGCAGACACCTCTATGGGGCCCAGCCCTGGCACTCAGTCCCGCGGGCAGCTGATGAGGCCCCAAGGCGGCATCTGAGGAGCCTGAGAACGCTTGACAAGGGCTTGGGTTCTTGGCCTTTCCATCTGTAAAAAGGCTAAGGAGTTCTTTTAAGTGGGATGATCACAGTGCCCTCCAGCTACAGAGGGCCCAGGTTCTTTTGCTTTCCATTTAATGCCCAGTGCCTGGAACCGTGCCTGGCACATATTAGGATTCAAGGAGGGGAGTTTGGGAGCACAGGGAAGGCGATCTCTGAAGTGAGACAACCAGAGTTTAACCTGAGTTCAACTAGTACTGGCTATTTGCTCGCAGGTAAGTCATTAAATCCCTCCGGGCCTCAGTTTCTAAACTTTAAAATAGGATTTTTTTTTTTTTGATTATTGAGAATTATATGAGACAATCTCAGAAAGTGCCCAACACGGAACCAGTATGGTTCCAGCAAGGGTTAGTTTTTATTAGTATCAATGTTATCAATTTGCTCAGCGAATGCCTGTGCCTGAGACCTGAGACCAATCCTGGGCGGCCACCTCTCTCCTGTTTCTGAAGCGCCGCAAGCTGAAAGAAGCACACGTGCGGGGTCAACGCACTCTCTTTAATGGGAAGGGGATCCTCATTTCTTACAGCAATAGGTAAAAACATAAATACGGGTGGGTGGGTGCGTGGGCGGGTGGCGGCGAGATAGCAAAGGCCCGGGCGCCCGGCCCTGGCTCGCGGAATGGGCGGTCCGATCTCAGGCCCCGTGTGCCCGGGCTCAGTCCCAATTCACTGGTCGTTCTGCCGGGGGTGCCCATGGACTCTCGGAGGGCACTCCTGGGGGGACAGCTAAGACACCAGGCTGCAGCATCACTCATTGCAGGCTGCATAATCGCCGCCACAAACTCTCCCGTGCGCAAGAACGAACGCGCGTGGGACAGAAAAAGTTCCTAGCTCTCCGCAGGAGTGAATGCAAAATCCAGGGGACTCAGGGTCAGGTTGGGAGCCCCTTCTCCCCCGGAAAGTCAGGGAGCTCTTGAGGTGGGATCAGTCAGGGGCGCGCCACGCGGGTCCCTTCCCTACCAGGCTCGGATACCATGCAGCGTGGACACTCCCGAGTTGCTCTGCGGAATCCCGGGGCTCTGAACCGCATTCAAGTCCCCGACACCGAAGTTCACGAAGTTGTTGTTGGCGGCGGCAGTGGCCGGCTGCGCTGGAGAAGGCCCGGTGGGGTAAGCGGCGGTGCAGCTGTAGCCAGGGCTGCAGGCCGCGCCGCCGTAACCCGGATAGGCGGGGTAGGCGTTATAGCCGTAGGCATTGAGGCCCACGCCGTAGGCAGGCGCGTAGGGTGCCGAGTCCCCTAAGCATGGTTTGCCATCGCGCACCAGCACTGGCACGGCGATCCTGCGGGCAGGCGGCGGCGGCGGCGGGGGCAGCCCCACCAGCTCCAGAGTCTGGTCCTGCCGCTGCCGCTTGCACTTGTAGCGCCGGTTCTGGAACCAGATCTTGACCTGCGTGGACGTGAGTTTCAACACGCTGGCCAGCTGGTCGCGTTCGGGGGCGGACAGGTACCGCTGCTGCTTGAAGCGCCGCTCCAGCTCGTAGACCTGCGCCTGCGAGAAGAGCACGCGAGGCTTCCTACGCCGTCTCGCCCGGGGCCGCTCCGCGTTGTCCGCCTCTGGCTTCTCCAGCTCCACCACCTTCTGCAGCGCGCACAGCTCTGAGGGGGAACAGAGAGGCAGAGAGACGCTTGGTAAGAGCGGCTCGACCTACGGAGCGCGGCCGCACAATAATGGTAAGGGATCCTCGTGGATGCCACTCTGTCCTGCCTGGAGAGCCTAGCTGGCTGCGGCTCACTCTGCCAAGTGCACTGGGAGCCACCGACACGTCTCACTCAGCATTTGTCGAAAGTCAGGCTCGGCTCAAGGCTCTGGAGAACAAAACGAGAGATCTCTGCCCTCGGGGCAGTTCACACCCTGGTGAGGGAGACAGACGGTGACTTAAAATTTCAGGCTGCAAAAAATAAATAAATAAATAAATAAATTAAAAAAATAAAAAATAAATAAAACCAGGTGTTGCTCTGGGGTGAACTGAATTAGGGCTAGTTTGGTTTGATAAGTTAAACCAACAGAGGCCGAGGCCTCACTCTTAGGGACAGTCTTATCTCAAAATTAAGGAATCAAGAAACAGAAGGCCAAGAGTGTTGGTTTGGTGATCGGAGGCTCCAGCCTGGCCGCAGCAGGGTTTGCGCAGTGTACAAGAAGCCGCGGGTGGGCAGGCGGCCTCGGAACCTGCCTTGCTGGCTTCCTCGAATTGGTAGCGATCAGTTCTAGCCGCGGTGCCCGCCCGAATTTGTTCACAGGCCTCTATTCCTCAACCTCCGAATTCTCTCCCGGCTCACAGCTGCCTTCGCCCAGCGCCTGCGGCCTCCCGGGAATCGCCCGGGCTCCTGCCTTGGGCGAGGGTCTCCCAGCAGGCCCCTTTCTGCGGCAGGGCCGGCCTCCCTCCCGGATCCTGGGATGGCCTGCAGGATGATCCCGCACCCATCTCGTCCATTACCCCGCGCCGGCGGTAGCGCAACCTTTCCTAACTTTTCCACGAGGGAACCTCTCCGCCCTGGCCGCGCCAAGAAGTTGTGCTGAAAAAATAAAGCGAAGTCAGATTCCAGAGGCTCCGCAGTATCCCATTTTAAAATCAAGGCCCTGGATCCCAAACTTCACTTTCCTGGCGCAAAGAAGGAAAGAGCCCAGAAACCCGGGTCGCGGGTGGGCTGCAGAAAGAAGGTCCAGGACCCTCCTCCGATTGTACGCAAAAGCGTGTCTGTGAGCAACATTTCAATTTCTGTTTAGCGGTTCTCATCAGATTCTTAAAAAGATCCGTAAATCCAAAGGAGATTTAAAAACAGAGATTATCTAATTGTCTGTCTGTTCTGTCTACCATAAACCGATTTTTCAACTTCCTACCAGACCCAGGAGCAGAGCCGAAGCCGCCCGGGGCTTTGTTAGGCCGGGGGTAAATGTTTTTTGGTTTCTTGCTTCTGATCCTTTCAATCTGGCATTTCCTCTGAATCTCCGATTGGACGCGGGGCGCGGGAGCCCTGGCGACAACACCAGGCATCTTACATTCTGAGCCCCCCGCCGGATCCCAGCCCTCGGCCCAGGGGCGCGTGTCTCCTCCTCCTGGCCCTGAGTTTCTTGAGGGCGAAAGCGACCCAGGAGGGGAGAAGGGGGCCTGTGTTTCCTCCTCACCTTTCTTTTCGGCTCGAGGGTCCTTGGCTGTGTCGGGGTCGCTGTAGGCACGCGGATAGAAGGCGGGGGCGGCGGGAAAGGCAGACGCACACTTGGCGGGTGAAGGCGCGGGGCCCAACTCTGCGCGCAGCTCTGGGAGGCCCGGCGCAGCCGCCTCGGGCCCGGCGTAGGCCTCTGGCTTGAAGGTGGCCAGCATGCAGGAGGAGGGCGCCAGGGTGGCCTCCAGGCGCGCAGAGAGTTCTCCGGCGGCGGCCAGGCTTCGCTGCTGCTGCTCCAGGTTCAGGATGTCTTTGACTGAGAAGGGCGTGGGCGTGAGCGCAGGGCTGGGGAACATGGTGGCAGCGCCAGTCTCACAGCGCCAGGTGGGCGGCACAGAGCGGCGCTGCCCACTGCCCCTGGCAGCTTCCCTGCATGGTGCCGCCGCCCGCCCGCGCACCCGCCGGCCAGCTCTGGATGTGTCTGGGCAGCAGGTAGCGCCGAGCACAAGGGGCAGGAGAGGCGGGACCAGGCCAGAGGAGGGGGACTCAGCCTGCCATTGGGCCAGGGGCCTCGATGACAGCAGCGATGAGCAGTTTCGTGTCACCTAATATAGTCATAGGGCTAAAAAAAAAAAAAAAAAAAAAAAAAAAAAAAAGCTCGGAATAGCTTTTTTAAAGGGGCCAGGACACATTTGGAAGGGTCTCCTTTTGCTCCCTAATGTGAGCCTGAAAAGCCTACCAGAGGCACGCAGAGTCAGGCCTCTGGGCAGGGCTGGATGGGTGTGGGTTTGAATAAATATTCCTCAGCACCCAAACCAGAATGGGAGAGAGAAGGATGGGGTGGGAAGCGGTGGGGAGGGGAGTGATTTGAGGAAGGCTTTATTACTGAAGGTGGTAGGAAGAGAAGTCTGGAGGACAGGACTGGCTTTGGGGATAGCAGGAGGGGGAGATTCTGGACAATTCGGGGTTTCAGTTTGGCTTGGCCTACAGGGCCAGTCATGCCACAGGCTCTGGGTGCTTCTGGATGAGTCAAGGAAAGTAAGGGCAAGGTGAGTGATGGCCAGGTGGGGTAGGAGTGGCTGCCTCCTACAGTAGTGTTAGGCACAGCACAACTCCAGGGGGCATCAGTCACTGCCAGGACTCTCCCAGGGAAATGCCTCTCCCCTTAATAATGAAATAAATCAGGAATCCCAGCTGGTAAGCTCAGCTTTCCAGGAGACACCTGTCTTGTGGTGTGCCCCAGCTACTAGCCACCTCGTTTCCCCTGTTTGGAGGCCACGGATCCCACCCCCCTCCTTCCCGTGCCCTCCCTGCCTAGCAGCAAGGCCCTCAGGCTTCTGTCAACCTCGAGGTTTCAGGGCCTTAGCCCAGGTTTAGCTGTCAGGGAGGCGGGGCTTCTCTGAGCCCAGCTAGGCCAGGATTTCTCCGAGGCCTCTGGGCGGTACTCGGAGAGGGCACCCCTGCGGCTCCGTCAGGCGCGTGGGGGAAGGGCAGGGCAGGTGAGGTGATCGTGATCATTTTTAGCCACAGGGTCAGTAGAGTAGGGCGCAGAAGTCAGACAAATCTGCCAGAGTTTCAGGAGCGCCGGCTAAACGGCCAGGTCCTGCCCGGGTGGGCCTCATTTCTCTGGGTCCCCGCACTCCTTGGGAGGTCTTATGAAGGCTTGGGGTCTTCTCCATTCCCCAGAACACTGCAGAGAGGAGGTTTACTTTGCTTACAATTCAGAAGTCCGGGTAGGCAGAGTGGCCCCAGGTTAAGGACGCCTTCTAGAGCTGGGGATGACATGATTTGTCAGTGGAAAAGCGTTGGCTTCGCACGGCCTTAGCTGGTGCAGGGAACCGCGGGGAGGAAGCTGGGCGGGACGCGTGGACTTGCTGAGAATGGGGACGTGGAGGGCTTGGCTCTTTGCGGAGTGCGGGTTGGCAAGAGGCGCTTGGAGTAGAATAAAGGCGGCGCAGGGCCAAAAGCTACCTAAAGACACAGCTCCCGCACGCGCGCCCAAGGTGCGGAGGAAACGCACAATGTGTGGAGACAAAATAGTGTCTGTCCCGAACGTGCATCTTGGGTGCTCGAGCCCGACAGTGGGCCGTCTGAGACGCCGACACAAGGGAAGTCAAGCACTGGCCTGATGTTGGGACTTTTTCTGTCCCTCATCAAAGCCACAGTCCCAGGACCTGGGGCCTCCATGCTAGAGCAATGGAGAGGTGAGCTCCACAGGGCAGCCGAGGAGGCGTGCAAAGCCCTGACCCCGGCTTCTAGGCGCCAGCCGTCAGTAACAGGCCTGGGTCGCCACGCTGAAATCACGCCTCGAGTTTCTGAGCCAGAGACTACTGGGGGTCTGGAATTGTTAGCCTAGTCTGTGGAGGATGCCTTTTCTTAAATGTGGGGCTCTCAAGGCCCAGGAAACCTGTCCCCCCACCTCTTCACCTCCCAACCCAAATTCTCCTTGGACGGAACTGCATGTCAGCAGCCTCTGTGGCCCTTCCTCGCCTGAACTTGTGGCCACGTTACCGTTATGGCTCTAAATTAACCTAGCTTGGGGGCCTGCCTTGCCTTTGAAGATTGTTTTCGGGGCGGGGGGGCGTTGGAGAGGTTGCCTATCGCTGAGGCGGTGACGTCTGGCAAACGAGCCACATCCGATTCAATTAAATGTCTCGCTGAAAAGAGCTCCGAACGAGGTTCCTGGGAGCGCTGTTAAGTGAATCTGCTGGCCGGGCGACTTGCGATGACAGTTTGAAAGATTAGTGTGAGCCGACGCCTGAAATATTACCGTTTAATGGGGGACATCGAGGCTACATCCGGGATCCCTGTTTTCAGGTTTTTTTTTGTTTTTTTTTTGTTTTTTTTTTTTTTTTGAGAGTTCTGGAGAAAGAAAAAACTAGCATTGCCTTTACAAATCAAGGCGGCAAGGATTTATTTCCTACTTTCGGGTAAGGGGGCTTCCTAGAGCTGTCAGTCCTGTGGGTCAGGTGTTACAAAAAGGGAAGGAAAAATACCCTCCTTATTTGAACAAAATTAGTGACTTTTACACTCTCTATGCCCTGTGTGAATCGGGTAATGATTTCTCTTGGCTTCCAAAAAGGTCTTGGTGTTGCAGGAGAGAGGAGGTGGGGCAAAAATGGACAAATGCGTGCAAAATAGAAATTGGGGCGACCCATGCTGGTCCCCTTAGAGAAAAGTCCGAGAGCGATTCGCAACTTTTCTTGTCAGTCCTCACTGTTTCCGAGTGAGAAAAAAAATAAAATCCCTCTAAATAGATCTAAATAGAAGTTGCAGTGGTTGGGGGTTGGGTGGAAGGAAACTTGATTCTCTGGCCCCCAACAGGGACACATCTTTTTTCCCAAGGGCCGCTGACCGAACCTGGCCGCCTCTCCACGCCGCACTTTGACCAAACTAGCAGGACAAACAGCCTTCAGCCTAGAGAAAGGCAGAGAGAGACAAAAGGAGAGAGGAGAGATCAAAAATCTATCCGTGTATTTCCTTGACTTTTAAAGAGTTGGTGCTTTAAGATAATCCAAATTCCAGGGTGGCTCGAGCGCATTCTCCGTGAATAAATTATTATTAATTGAAAAGCGATCGGCGCAGCCGGAGCTGGCCCCCCTTTCGTGCAATCAGCAGGGCTGGCCGCAAAAGGTATATATGATTAATTGAAAGATAAGCTGGAACTATCACCGGGAATGTCATTAATGCGCCGGGGAGACGTCCATTGGAGACAGGCGGCGTTATCCGCGGCTTTATCTTCAACAACGCCTAGCTCTCCGCCCGCGCGGGGGAAACAGATGGGGGTTTCTGTCTGGGACGCTCGCCCCATGTTTATATTTTGGGAAGAATCGCAACTCGTGGGAGTCCCCGGCTGGCCCCCTGATAAATGAACATTAGCACTTTTTCGGACTACTGTATCAACAAAGGGGCTGCGGCGCTGCAATAATTGGCGAGAAAGCAAACAGAGGGCCGAGAGCGCGACTCTGCTCTTCGTCCCGCTGATGGATGAGCAGCTCCGGCTGCGCGCCGGGCTCCCGGCCTCCGCCTCCGCGCCGGGCCCGGCCACTGGGCCCCTCCGCCGCCCGGGCTTCCTTCCTGGCCAGGCATTGGGGGCGGGGGGCGACTCTGAGGGCCGCCGACCTCGCCCTTGGCTCCGGAAGAGTCCAGGCGGCCTCCGCGGCACCGGATTTTTCCTGCCTCGGGACGCGCCTCATTCGGGTGGCTCAGCTGGCACCAAATCCTTCTCATTCCCACGCTTATTCAGCGCCCACGGGGTGTGCCATGCGTTCTCATCGCGGATCCTCTTATTTCGACTGCAGGCCTGAGGAGAATGAGGCTCAGAGACGTGGAGTAACTTGCTCAGGGTCACACAGATGGGAAAGGACAGTGTCAGGGTGTTAGGATTCGAACATACAGCTGACTCCAGAGCTGAGACTGTTTTCTTTTATTGCACGTCGTTGCGCCCAAGACCATACTAACTGGAGGAAGAGCAAGACCGCCACCATCACCCCCCACCGCGCAGCCAGGGAAGAGGACCAGGGCTGTTGGATTTGAGATGCCAGGTCTCCCCACACCTTCATAGACAAGGGAGATTTCCTGCATAAATTACATTTGAGAGAGAGAGAGGGGGGAGAGAGGAATTTAACATGCGTTCAGTTCACTTTCGCCTTCCCCTTCCCTCGCTCTCCCGCTTTTCCTTTCCCTTCTTCCCTCCCTCTCCTCTTATTTTGATAATAGCTTTATCGTGATATAATTCGCATACCATACAATCCACCCATTTAAAGTATACAATCCAGTGATTTTTAGTATGTCCACAGCGTTGTGAAACCATCATCACAATTTTAGAACATTTTTTGTCACCCCAAAAAGAAACTTGTGGCCTTTAGTCATCAACTGCAACCCCCTCTCCCACCTTCCCAGCCCTAGGCAACCGCTAATCTATTTTCTGCCCCTATAGATTTGCCTGTTCTGGACATTTCATACAAATGGAATCATACACTATGTGGCTGTTTGTGTTTCGCAGCATTCACTTAACATAATGTTTTCAAAATTCGTTCATGCTGTAGCACGTATCATCTTGTTCCTTTTAATGGCTGAATAATATTCTATTGTATGTCTACACCACACTTTGTCCATTCATCCTCTTGATAAACATTTGGGTTATTTCCACATTTTGGCTGTTATGAATACTCTTCCAGCCCACTTCTACTTTACAGTCGGAACCTTTAGAGTCCTTGAAAGGGCCTTGTTCCCTCTCTCCCATAATTAACCCTGTCCTTCACGGGCATAGCCTCTGTGCAGTCTCACAGGGCCTGAGCTTGCTTTAATGTTCCGCTGTTGCTCTCTTAAAACTCTTAATAAGTTTTTAATCAGAGGATCCGCATTTCCATCGTGCACAAATTATGTAGTCAATCCTGCTTTCTGGGCCATCTGAGCAGAGCCCTGGAAATACTAACTCTCTATTGCCTGACTGGGTTTTGACTTTCTTCCCGCCCCCCACCCTCTCTTGTCCCCGCTTCCTCCCACCCCTCCCCAGCCCCCTGCTGGCCAGCTAGGACAGACGGAAAGTCCCCAAGCTGCTTTAAGAGTTGTCCATGGAAACTTGCTCAGCCATAGGAAGGGCCTAGAGCCCACAGAAGGA